CACACACACACACACACACACACACACACACACACACACACACACACACACACACACACACACACACACAATTTATCGTCCAGTAAAATTTGTTATCATGACAGGCCTACTCTGAACCCAGAACAGAAAGACATCAACACTAGGGCTGCACAATATATCGCAAAAATATCATCATCACAATATCAGTGTGAGCAATATTCATATCACAAAGGATAATAATGTTGATTAAATATTTTTCATGCTAATACAATATTTAGACAGAAGGACAGAGTCTGACAGCAGTGAAAGCTCACACCAGACACAAACGACGTTGCCAAAAACGGTAAAGGTCACACAGAGTAGGAAGCACTGATTACAAACGGAGCAAAGAAAAAAACAGACATATCGCATCTGATATCGCCATCGCAAATTTTTCTAATATCGTACAGGCCACACTACATACTTGTGAATTTGTTCATTTATTTCAAGTCATATTGTTATTGCAATATTATGCACTGTTATTGCACATGGCAAGTTTTCAATCATGCAGCCCTACCATGAACTGTATATAAAATATAGACACAACGGTAGTGTGCATATTTTAGATACTGGGGCAACACAGTAGTTGTGTCACAACCACTGCTGCAGCTCAAAGATATAAGGAGTTCACACAACCTCACAAATAGTGAATTAAAATACTTGTGCATTACAGTGTTACATTTTATAGATCCTCTGAAACATTCTGCACATTCCTGTTGCATTTATCTCAATTACATTCATTCTCTAGTACTTAAAATTGAACTTTAAATGATAAAACAAGCATCGGGATGTATTGATGAAACTGTTTAACTGTTTAATAAAATTACAAAGCTGTTAGAACAATGCTGACTGAAGTCAGAAGGGAAGTATTTCTATAGATCAGAGAAACATTATCAATGTCTTCTATTGATTTCCCTTTGGGATCAATAAAGTATTTTTGATTTTGAATTGAATTTGATGTCCATCAGAAATAAAGCAACAAGAAATCACCTTTATTGTGGCTTTGTCTCTCCCATCTGGAGGCCACGTTATTTTTTTCGGCCTTCATGCAGTCCAAGCACATAAACAATGTAGATTTGGCTATTATGTGACCAGAGAAAGGACATTTATTATTTTTTCTTTGTGTCTAGACTCTGACCTTGTCAGCATAGCTTGTCCAAAGCAGAGCCTTACAGGTGGTTAGCTTAGGTTGCTTTACTATATCCATTTATACAATTAAGATGGAAAAACAAGCAAAAACACTTCGTGAAATTGGCCTGCAGCTGCGTGAATCATTTGTTCTGACAACATGGGGCTTATAACACACACACACAAAAAAAAAAAAAAATTACAGGACAGTTGTGTTTCTTTTTCTTCGAGCTGCGCTGAGAGCAAATTAATCAAATCCAAAACAGCTAGAGGGACTATTTGATGCCGTTTCTACCAGCTGAGCAAAGTCCCGCTGAGAACTGCTGCTGCAAACTAATCACAAAAGTCATCTGCTCTCCGTGCAGCACAGAAATCTCATGGGTTTGTTTATGTAGAAAACGTACATGCGAGTGCTTTCAAATTCAAGGTTGCAGTTCGTGTTAAATGTAAATATATTTCTCTTATTTGTTGTGTGAGATTTCTGGATCAGTCCTTCTGTTTGTCTAATTATCACACAATATGGCAACAGTTCTTAAAGGAATCCCTGAATAGCTGTAACATTAGACTTTATTTGATAAACATATATTTTAACTAAAAGAAAGACTGTAAAATATTGTAGGCTGTTTAGTTTTTATAATTTTTAAACTAAAATTATAAAAATATATATTACACGGACGGAGCCATTTTATTT